GTTTATTTTTTTGGGTTTTTGTTTTTATAATAAAATTCATTATTGATTATCTAAATATTATTATTTAATTAATTAATATTTTAAATTTTCAAATTAGTTATTGTAAATTTTCAATTAATTTTTTAATTATGTTAACCAAATTACATTTTCAATTAAACATTATTTTGTTTAATCATATCTATTTTTTACTTATAAAATAAAAAATTAATTAATCAAAATACATTCTTGTTTAATTTTAGTTGAAGTTTTTACCTTTAAATTTAATCAAAATACATTCTCAACTAAAATTAAAAATCAAACTCACATGATGAATATATTATGTAGATTTAACCGTGATAATTTGTTACATTATAAAAATTATTATTTTCATTTGATTAAAAGACAAAAAACATAAATAAAAATAAATCATAATAATAATTAAAAAAATCATTTTATTATAATATCATAATTAAATTATAACAAAATCAATATGAGAGACTTAGTATTCCATGAAATAGAAATAACATAAAAATATAAAAAGAATAAAAAAAAAAAAAAAGGGTTAAGGACGAGGAATCCTTCCTCGATTTGTTTTACCAGCTTGAACTAGAGCTTGACCAAGAAACCTGGTTAAACAATCAAACTATGTATTGAAATAGAATAAGGCTCTGGCGGTACCGGTATTAAGCAGTCAAAATCTTCCTATAGATGCCACAAGAATATCCAATCCAAGAGATTATATAATAGACTACAGCTAAAAACTTCGTATCGTTGTGTAGCAAAACCTTGAAGACAATGCCACACATACCATATTTCGTAAGCACTATGAAATTTTACTAGAGGGAGGCCTCAATGTGCCCATAAGAAAGCCTTTTTCTTCTTCTCTGGAGTTCTATTCATCTGTGTTCGTGGACTTGTAGTTTTAGTTTTAGCCTGAAACTCAACCTACCCAAGTCCCCAATTTACCCAAGAGTCAGAATATCACATATCAAGAACAACCTAGGTACCCAATTGAAATAAGTGGTCTTTATTCAGAGCTTGAGGGCGATCCAATTTAAGTCCACAGGAGGAAAACGACAGAAAGAGAGTACCAAAAATATGTTTTAATATTTGCCAACTAGTTGCGAAGGTAAGAGACGACGAAGGAAAAGAACGAGGGAACAAGAAGAGAAAGACATCGAGGAGGGCACAAAGAGGGGGCTGAGAAGGGTAGAAAATAAGAGGGGGCAGCGCAACACTCGTAATTCCAACCCACCCCCCAATTCAACACATTAAATTAATTTCTAGACTGAATCAAGACTATAAATTCCACAAAATTCAAGAATCTTGCCACACTAGTAATATTGTGATATTAGGTAATAAGCTGACATATAAATTCAAGATCTTGGATGTTGTTAAACCAGAAAGGATCCTTGAATTTCCCTGCATGGTAAACACGAAATTTCATATTCCAGTGTTGAAGATGCTTCGAAGTTGGGTCCTCAGCGAGAGAGGGGAAGAGGTAAAATTATAAATATGATTAATCTTCCAAGACCGATAATTTTACCACCACTTAAAGTGGCTTAAACAAGGGTATCTGAAACTGGTATAAGCTTTGTAATCCAAGCAATTGGCCATGACACGCTGCAAGTTCCAATACAAAAATTCACCATTGCTCGCCTGTTAATTCTAGCTGTATCAGCAAACTTCCTCAAAGTATCCACCATCACAACTTGAAGAACAAGGGTAATCCCCACAATTCCAAGAAACAAATGGTTTCTGTGAAGGCCTCGGAATACATTTAATTTCTCCATACTTCTAGAGTTGAACTCGTTGAATACTTGGCAGAGAACAAAAGTATTAAAAATTAGAGTATCCTTTACCTCGTCTGTAACATTGAAGATTGACTTTCCCTTGAATTGTAAAACCAAGAGAACAGAAATCTGATATAAAGCTTGAGCTAAAAGGTTTCTCCACATAATACTAGTAATAAGAGGCTCAGTCCTACCCACTGGCCTTTTCTCCATTAACTCCTTTGTAGGTCTTTCTGTTGCCAGTGCCAATGCTCCTAGCGTATCCATAATCAGATTTACCCATAAAAGTTGAACTGTTGTCAGGGGAACATCTCCCGAAGAAACTGCTGCAATAAAATTGATCACTAGAGCTGCAACATTCACTGTTAGTTGAAACTGGATGAATTTTTGGATGTTGTTGTAAACACATCTTCCCCACCTTAAAACAGTGGCAACA